TTTGTTCCAATGCTTTGGTGGTAATTTTTTTTTCTATTTTGACAAAATGTTTTTGTATTTTTAACTTTATAAAATTCTCCAAAAATTAGTTGGTTATAATTTGATAATAGATTTTATATTGCACTCTTTTTCTGAAATTTTTTCTACTCCCATTCAAGGAAATCTGTGAATTATTTTTTCTCAGCAAGCCAACCAATCACACATTTTTTTACCATCGCTGACAGCAATGTTTGTCGATAAATCGTTACAATTGTTGCATTAATGCTAATTTTTTCTATTTCATTTTAACCTTTTATAACATATTTTTAAAAAAGGGTTTTTTTAAGAACCAACTATATATTAATATTTAATTTTACTCTTTTGTTGGTCAATATATGATTTTTGATTCAAAATTTTGTACCAAAACATTTGAAAAATAAATAAAAAATCTTGCCAAATTGTCAAAATAACATTTTGAATAAAATATTTTATAATATAGACACTTTTCTTGTACACATCCTACACTTAATAAGAAAAAAGAAACAACAAACCTGGAAATTTGAAGATTTTTATCTGGAAAACCTAAAAAATCAGGGAAATTTGAAATCTGATTTGAGTGGCCACCCTGAGTTCGCACTATTTTTAAATTGCGACATTAAAATTTTTTCCCAACTATTTTAAATGTCAAGCTACTTAGGCAAGAGTATAAAAAATATTCCTATCTTGGTTAAAATAAATGCTTTTAAACCTGTATGTTCTAATATAATCTTGCAAAATAACAGTTATGTTTTCGTTTTAGGTTAAGCAAGCTAAGTCAGAATTATGAAAGTTTTGAGTTTGATATGAAGGAAAAGCTTTTACTTGGGTTACATTTGACTAGATGAATGTTTTATGAAAGCTCCTTTAAATTCAACAGTATTTGAACTGCATTTGTTTTTGAAAGAACTTTGTACTTGTTGATATTTCTGTAATTATTAGGTTTAAAGCATGCCAACATATAGCTTAATTTTATATTAGCCTTCATCTATGAAATGCACATATACCAAAGAATCAAGTGAAAAGCAAAATATCATGAGCATTTTTATAGTATATAAAATTTTAAAAATTATTCAATTTGAGGTGCAACTATGTTGCAAGAAATTTATATTCAATTTTTTATGGTTTTTACAAAAACTTTTAGATATTGTGGAGATAGTATGACTATTCCTCATGTGTGTAAGTAACTAAATTACAACAAAGAATAGTGATATTTACTTTTGTTGGGACAAGTAACCTTATAATATGCAAGGTTTCTGTTGTATGAGATTTTTTTTTTTAAATATTTTATTTTCTAAGTTTGACTTTTTGGAGTATTTCTAAATCAAAATTAATTTTTTTTATATGAAGCCAATCTAAGAGATAATTAGAAATTGATGTTTTTTTTTAATTATTACAAAATTTTGTACTGATTAAAACACGAGTTATTTGAAAATGCAATTTAAAATGCTCTTTATATGAAATACAATACAATTTAAGTTCACTCTTTTAAGTCTTATTATTTAAGGATCAAATATTTAAATGTCAGCAAACAGAAACTGTATATGATACATATATATTTGTCTATTAACAAAACCTGAATAAATAAGTTAAAATAACAAGCAGTTTTCTTGGCACTATAAACAAATACCAAGAACAGATAAAACAGAAAGAAAAAAATTTTTCCCCTTGATTTGTCTGAGCACAAAAATGGCACTTGTTTGTAGTAAATTCATTTTTTTTTAAAATTTATCTGTGCGAATATGCATATATAACGTACATTTTTTTCCAGTGTCAAGAATACCTTCATATATTTTTAATTCATTAACGTGCAACATTTTTTAAGAATTTTGTAGCACTATAAATATGTATTCAACATATAATAATAACACTATAAATATGTAATTTCATGTAGCTTTGAACAAATTTTTATATTTTTGTACTTTATTATATATTTGCATATTCTGTATACAATTTTTTCATTTACTCAATGTATATATTTACTTTGAAATATTCATGAACAATATCAAAGTTGTGCCAAAAGAAGGTAATCTACTTAAATTGTGGCCTTTTTTTTTTCTTCTTCTTTACAAATATTTTATTATTAGTAATTTGTCATTGTTTATGATTATTTATGGGCAAGAAATTATTAATTCTAAACCAACTAAGAAATTATTAATTCTAAAAAATATGAATGAGGCACTGTCAGTGACAAGTGGTTGGAATAATGGTTGAAAGTCATAAAGTTATATTATAACTTATGAAACGCAATATAAAAGTTTTGGTATACATCTCTATAAATTTTATCCATGCAATAGCGCAAAAATAATAAGACTAAATAAATAATTGTTGAAATTATGTGCTAAAAGTTATTTTCTTTTCTTGAAAATTATATTCCCTAATTTCCAAACTGCTTTTTGGAAGGTAAAATTAATTGCAATTTTGCAGAAGCAATTACTTTGTGGATGTATAAAACATGAATATTTTTAGCTATATAGGAATTCTGTGACATAAAGCCAATGGAGTTCTCCAAATTGTTGAAAAAATTCAATTGGTTAAAATATCAGATGTTTGAGATATCCACCCTTTTCTCTTGTAAATAAATAATTTAGTATTGAATAAAATATTTTAATACTGAACTTTTACTTGTTAAAGGAAAATATTAAAACTGTTTATAATCTAACTGGTAGGCCAAGATCAGGTCATGAGACAAACTCACAAGAAAGTGTTAAATAAGTGAGCAGCAAAACAAATTTTCCTTAGCAGGTCCAAAGCAAAAAAGATGTTCAGGGGTGAATTAAGGGTTGTTACATTTTCTATGTAAAGGCAAATGTCTAATTTCCCTAGTCAAATGTAAAGCATTTTAGTAATCCACTTGACTAAACAGTCTGTTTGGACTTGACTATCGCTTAAGAAAAATATTATGCGGTGATGAACGAAATTTAATATTTGTAACGTAGGTTTTCCATTGAAATGAAAACTCATATGAAATATTACAATGGCCATGCACACTCAGAAAAGAGATATCCCTGTCTTTTCCTTGACTAATTTATCAAATTTCCAAATTTTTCTAATTGCAGATTTTGTTATGGCTTATTCATTTACATATGTAATTAGAATTTTAAAAAATATTACAAGACCAATTTTTTCTTGGCAAAATTATTGAACTATCAGGTACTTAAATTCATTTTCCAGCACTTTTTTTTTAAAATGAAAATCTCAGATATTTCCAGTTGGATAAAATTGTGACTTTTTCCTGTTCTGAATATGCATTGGGTTATTAGTAGAGCCCGGAAGTTCAGGCAAAATGCCATAAATGCCCTTTTCTGCCTTTTTTAAACGTTTTCTTCTGAAAATGCCTTTTTCTTTCCTTTTGTTCATAAATGCCTATTTCTGTCTAATTTAAAATTTTTCTGCAAAGCTTTTTGTGCTTTTGACCGAGCATAAACGCAAAATGAAGAAATTTTGAAGTACAGAAATGGTTGACTGTCATCCGACGTATTGTAATGCATTTATAGAGATTAGGACTTTATTCCTTTTGTCTTATTAATATTTTCTCTCCGTCTCTTCGTGGCGTCACCTTCGTCGTGGCGTCACCTTCGCCCGATGCGCTTTGCAAGGAGAGAGAGAAAGGGAGTGAAAAGATTGGAGTTATTTTTACTTACAGTCAATAGAATTTATTCTTACTTACGGCCCATATAGCCTACACCATCGAATAACTCGTATGCTCTCTTATCTACAAAACGAATTCACCAAGCTGGTTGAGCACATTGTAGCAGGAGCACGAAAAAGTTTTCTAGTATACTAGTTATTTCTAAAATGCCTAAAGTAAAAGCCTGCACAAGCAAAAAACTGGACAGTTTTGTGAAAGAATTTGGGTCGGATGTGTTTTCTACTGATGGGAGCATTCTGTTTTGTAAGGCATGCGAGAAGTCAGTAAATTTTGAGAAGAAGTATTTTATATCTCAGCACTTGGAGACATCTAAGCATAAAACAGCAAAAGATAAAAAAGATGGGAAAACATCGACTCTGATTCCCACCTGTTTTCAATTATCTTCTCGCAAATCGGAATTTGCAATGGATTTATGCAGATCATTTGTAGATGCCGGCATTCCGCTGTGGAAACTTGAAAATAAAAGTATACGAGCTTTTTTGCAAAAATATACGAATCAAAGTGTGCCCTGTGAATCAACTTTAAGGAAAACTTATTTAGATGACTGTTATACCGAAGTTCTTAAAACTATTCAAAATGAAATCGGAACGAAAAACATATGGCTATCTATAGATGAAACGACAGATGTAACTGGACGATATGTTGCGAATGTTATTGTTGGTGTTATGGACCCATTTGAAAAACATAAAATCTTTTTGTTGACATCTGAACAGTTGCAAAAGACTAACAGTACTACAATTGCACAGTTGTTCACTAATGCACTGGCTTTACTTTGGCCAAATGGTACTGAGCATGAAAGAGTGCTATTATTTCTTACAGATGCAGCCTCCTACATGAAAAAAGCTGGAAATGCCTTAAAAGTTTTATTTCCTAATATGATCCATCTAACGTGCCTTGCTCATGCATTGCACAGGATAGCAGAGGAAGTAAGAGGTCTCTATCCTGAGGTAGACTCGCTTGTTTCTAGTGTGAAAAAAGTATTTGTGAAAGCCCCTTCAAGAGTTCAAGTGTTCAAAGAAATTGCACCAGACATTCAATTACCTCCTAAACCGATCCTTACGAGATGGGGAACATGGATTTCAGCAGTCTCATACTACTGCACAAATTTTGAGGAAGTTACTCGAGTCCTTACCAGCTTTTCGGATGAAGAGGCAATATCCATAAGAAAAAGTAAAAATCTGCTTAGCAGTTCTAAAATTAAAAATGAACTGACTTTTATTTCAACTTATTTTGGGAAGCTCCCTGGAGCTATTGAACACATGGAAAAAAGAAATATGTCTTTGTCCGAGTCACTAAAGATTTTCGACAATACTATTGAAGAACTAATGTCTGTGCCTGGACCATCTGGTGACATAATAAGGAAGAAATGTGAAAACGTCATCTCTGCAAATACAGACTTTGAATGCATCAAGGACATTGCAAAAGTACTTTCTGGTGATACTACAGTTGAACTTACCATATCTCCTACCATGGCAAGTTGTTTTAGGTACGCGCCCATAACCTCTGTCGAAGTAGAAAGATCCTTCTCTTTGCTTAAAACCATATTGACTGACAGGAGACAAAATTTATCTTTTGAAAATTCGAAAAAGCATCTAGTTGTGATGTGCAACAACAACCAATCATCAGAATAAATTTGCATACAATATTATAAGTATGAGTTTTCAATTTTTATTTCACACTTACGCAGTTGAAGGTTTTTTTTTGTGCAATTATGTCCACTTCTTTTGTACTATTGCTACGACAGTCGAGTAAAATGAATATATAGGTATACCGGATACTTCTAGCAACTTTTTTTATACCTTGGATACCTATATGGGCTTTTAGGCATTACCAACTAACATTTTGCTCCAATTTTAAGTGCCTATTTCAAGCTTTTTAAATGCTTTTTTGCCTGCCTATTTTTGCATTTTTTATTGCCTGAAATTCCGGGCTTTAGTTATTAGTGTGTTCTAGGTAGACTGGTAAGAATACTTTGTAAGTTTCTAAAACTGTTGGTCCCTATTATTATTTGTTACAATTTTCAATATGCACTGTTATAATTTGTTTTTTTCTCACAGAAGTATTTTAACTATTAAAATATAAAATTTTTACCACTTGAATAATTATATAGTGTTAAAAGTATGAACTGGATTGTTCAAAATGTCTCTTTATTGAATACTTTACAAAAAAAAATCCAATATTCAGAGAGCATATAAACGACTTAAATTCCTGTTATTCTACAGATGACACTGCTATTTACAATGGTGAATAAATGATTTTTCTGTAGAAAAAAATTAAAAAGGTGCAGATGAATGTTCTAAAAGAACTATTTTATTATATATTTTTGACAATTTTTTTTAGCATTGTATATAGCTTACATTTTCCATTTTTCTACTTATATAATGTCATTTTTCTTTTACCAAAGAGTGCAGCATACTTTTATGTCATACTTTTCATTTTATTGATAAACTGATATATTTTATAAAATGTTGTTATACAAATATTGTGTTTACTTTAAATAAACTTCTATTTCTTATACTTTCTAGTGTAATTATTTATTTTAAAATAAGGCATTAACATATGAGGATTTTCAACGTAGATTAACTCTAATTGCCACATATCTTTGGTTTTGTCATACATGAAACAGTTCAGAAATGAAAGGGATTAACTTGAAATTTTTGTCAGTTTCCATATTTCCTCTAACATAGTTTGAATCAAATTTTACCCATCATGTCTTTTTACAACAAATGTATCCAAAAAAAAATTGCACATTTATTAAAAATTTGATAAACTCATGCAATGTACAGTTGAATTAGCAAATGCATAAAAAAAATTATCAGCACATTATTTTTTAACATAATTCTAAATTTAATTCTAGTGAATTAATGCAACTATTTCAGTGAAAAAAAATATTTCATATAAATATTTTTAAATTCAAAAAAAAAATTCAGTATTAATGAACATAAAAGATCAACAACTTGCAAGTTTTAAAATTATTTTATAACAATCTTGAAGTTGAGCAAAATTCGAAAATAAATTAAAATGCCCTTAATAAATGAAATATCTATTGACAGAAAGTTGTTAATTATTGTAGTGGATTAAGTTCTAAATTAAAATGTGCATTGTTATTTAATCAGTTAAGTGGTTGGTTTCCAGATTTCTGAGTGGTTCAAAATAAAGAAATTTTTGTGCAATACGTTTTAGACTATTTTTAAAACGGAGAAACGCAAGGTCGGGACTAATAGTGTAATCCACTTTGATATTTTTGTTTTCTCTACAACATAAAAAGAAAAAACATGAGTGCTAAACGTTCTTAAATAAAAATTATTAAGATTAGAACAAGTGATCAGAAATGATTTTTAAAAGAAACTATACAATTTTGTGTGTACATTTGGTGAGAAACAATGGAACTTCGAATTTTTTTAACTTTGGAAATAGAAATCCTCAGTACAAAGATAAATCAAAGTAACTTTAAACGAAACATAATTATTTTCATTTTGATGGACAATTTACTAGACTTATGATCGAAAGAGATGTTAAATGAGTCAGGTAGAAAACAAACCTGTAAAAAGGGGGGGATTAAATAATATTTTGTTCCAATACTGTTGCAGCAATAATTCATTCTGAGAAGAAAAAAAGAGAAAGATTTCTGTTTTTCACAGAACTCCTTTTCATTTTAAACATGTTTCAGATTTCACTTTTTGAATCTAGTTTGATTTATTTTTACAATAAAAGAAATTTTTAAAATAATCCAAGCAATTCTTTTAAAATTGAAGCTACCTCAAAATGGTATATTCTGAACAAAACAAAAAAACAGTAATATTTTGACGGAATGTGTAAAATCAGGACAAATATTTTAAGTTCAGACAACTATCAACCATGAAATTCTAAAATCAGATGGGAGAAATAATAAAGGCATCCGAATAAATATGTCATGAATATCCAATTGTATTTTAAATAATCACATTTAAATACAAGTCAATCATAAAATTGTAAACACTTTAAACCTAATGAAATTATATATATAAGAAAATTAGTTATTTAATGTCATTAATCTGGGTTTGTCCACATAGCCTTAGTCTGTAACTGGTTGTAGAGCCATAAAAGTATAAAATGACAATTGAAGTGTGTTTATATCATTTTAATATTTTGCAGTAATATTTTATTAATACCAGTAATTGCTTATATGTACCAACTGAAATAAAACAATATTTCGATGACAAAAGAGAGACAGATACATTTCTTTAGGTTTTTATTAATTTTTTACATTCATGTTTGATGTTTGAAATTACAAATCATTTCTTAGAAAGAAAATTTAAACATTTTCTAAAAATTTGTAGCTGAAACATTTTAAATATTTTCATAGTTATGATACAGCAATAGTATTTATATAAAAGATTTATGCCCAATCTTTAAATTTTCTTAAATAAATCTCGGCTAGATGTTTAGAAAAGGGAGGGAAAAAAACTAACAAAATTAATGTGGATCAATATTATCCCTTTTTTTTTTTTTTTTTAAAGAGACTCACTAATGACTCAATAGATACGTAAAAAGAAAAACCTGCTTAATATAATGCCACAATAGTCTAAAGGAAAACTTAGATAACACAACTTAATTAAAATTCTGCTGTTTAAGAGACTAATAAGTTTTTATTAAAAAAATGTGCAATAACAAAAAGAATAATGTTGCTTTCATTAGAATCTCACACTAAGGAAGGTTTTGAAAATATATTGCAGTCATTTTAAAAAAAATAATAAGTTTGCAATAAATCAGTAAGAGAAACTTTTGTCTACTTTCAAACGATATATATTAATATATATGCTAAGCTCAATACTTATGCAAAACCTTCACAAGTTCAATCATATTCTTAATCTGTTCCAATGAGTACTCTATTTTAACATGTTCCGCATTTATGCCTTTGTGTTTCTTTGATTTCTCTGACCTTGATTTACGTTTTCGTTTTCCGGAAAGATTGGAGCTAGCTTTGTCTGATGGACTTGGTACATTTCTAGAAAAAGAGCTAAAATTCTTGTTCTGTGCAGGTGCACATTCTTTTTGGTCAGAAACAAGTTCCTTTTCAAGGTGTAAACTTTCAGGAATGGGCTGAGCACACGGAACTGGTTGAGAAAGATAACTTTCATCTGCATCAACTTTAGATTTTACTGTTAGGATTTCTCTAGAAAGACCTGCATTGTCAAAACAATCATTTTTACTTTTCCTTGTAGGAGAAAATTCATTCCAAATCTTTCTTGATTCTTTTTCCTTAGAAAAATTAGAGGAAGGTATAGACAAAGCAGCATTTGTTTGAAAAACATCCAACTCTAAATTTAGATCTTGACTCATTTGACATTGAACCCCACTGCTAGAGAACTGAGACTTCTCAGAAGAACGATGATCCATATCAACAGGCATTTCTTTAACTTCTTCTATTTTTGATAATGAGGATTTTTTAGTTAAAATTGCTTTATTCCCAAAACAAGAATTATGTGTATCGAAAGAAGAGATCTGAACTGCTGCAGCCTTTTCTTCTATATCTGAAGCAGAAGATGAACGTTTTAATATCCGAAGAGAGGGGTTAATTTTATGGATACTAACAGAATCAAGAGATGAACTCTTTCGTAAGGGAAATCTATCTTTTCTGTTGGTATCCTCCGAATTTTTTTCACTTTTGTTAAGATCAACTGCAAGAGCTTTCTGACTAAGAGTACTTGCTGGCTCTACACTTATTGATGAAGTCTGTTGATTTTCTTTATCTTTATTTGATACAGTGTTTAAAGATTGACTATTTTGGGCTGACTCTACCTTGGATGTCCACCCTAAAATTGATAATGAAAATACTTTAATACAAACTTAAATAGCAATCAGCATTAAATAGGTAGTAAGGAATTTGAAAAATTAAACAAGAACACAAAGTAAAAACAGTGATGCTTAAAAATTTGATTTACATTATGTACATTAAAATATATTTTAGATTAGTTATACATCTTTATTAATATTGTAGTTAAAGATATTGTTTTCCTAGAAATGAACAGAAATTTAAAAAAAGAGAAGAAAACACCACTTAAAAATTTTATTATTCTTCAGGGTGTAAATAATTTAAATAGATTTGTTAAATGTAGCAATTTAATCCACTGTTTTAAAAAAGTGTTTCAATTATGAATACAATCATTTTCTAAGGAAATAGCTTAATTTCAAATTTTCATGCAAGCATGTCACAAGCTGACTATGAATTAATACTTACTTTCTTTCTGTGGTTTTTTGAGATTAGATATATCTTAGACGTGTAGGCTTTTAAGATTTTCTTTTCTGTGTTGCTAAAGTCTTAAGTTTGAAATGATCTAATGCTAAATCTACAACACTACATAATAAGTTCTTTAACAGGGTTGCCACTCAAATCTGGAATTCCCAGTACATAGTATACACAATACATTAAGAGGAAACAACAATTACTGTGCTCTTGTGTGAGCTATATTAGGCTAACTATATTTATTAGTTTTAATTGCTGGAAAAAAGTTGAACATACTTAAATAATGATATAGTAAATGAAATAGTTTAGTATAGCTGAAATATCATGGTTATATATCCCATAGATAAAGCTTTGAGTGGTCACCATTTTTTAAAAGTCGAAAATAAGAAACTAAATAATTTGTAATAATAATTTGTAAAGAAAAAAAAATCAAAATTCCCAGTCTTTTAGATGATTTTTAAATTCCCGGCATTTTCCAGGTTTTTCCTGTTCTCCCTGTAGAGTGGCAACCCTGTTTAAGCATAAACTAACTATGAGATGGAGATATTAAATTAGAGCCGGAACCTCCAACAAAGTAAAAAACCTGTTTGAACAACTTCATGTGGTCAAATAGAACAAATAGCAATCTTTTAATAACGAAAAATTTATCTTATTTCTCCCAATACTGTTGCTAAAGAGTTTTGAACACAATAAGCATCAACCCAAAAACTAAACCTCCTATATATATATATACAGTGAAACCTCCTGTTATGGACACTCCTGCAAAACGGACGCCTCTCAATACGGACATATTTTTAATTCCCCGGGAATCTTCTATGAATAAACCATTACGTACATTCTCCGCAAAGCGGACACTCCCGTAACTGGACGCGGATAGTCATTTTGGTCCTGAAACATTGTTTTTTATCTCTACAAACCGGACACTACTTTTTCTAAATAAATTGCAAGCTAAAAAAATTCAACTTTTCACCATTTTTTAAAGCATGTAAATAAGACTTTTTG